TATAGGTTTAGAAGCCTAAAGTTAAAGACTATTAGCGTAATTGGCAAAAAAGGCTAATTAACCACGTGACAGGGCACGTAACCATTATGCCTAGAATATTAGTAGACTATTAGTATAAACAGGGGAAATAGAATAGTATAATAGCTACTAAGATGTTAACTGACCATCTTTTATAATACGTACAGATATTGATTGTGATTTCGAACGTCTGTTAACATGCTTACATAAACGAGAACCTGTGTGACAAATGAGGCAGACTGCGGGTACGCATGGCTGGGAGTAATTGCGATGTTGAGGATGCTCATGTCAGTTAAATCTCTGGGACAGGCTTTTTACAATTCACTTAGATTACATGTAGCTCACAGCGTTTGAGCTTTCTCGTCTATGTAGCTTACTGACTTTATTGGACATTAAAACAAGTCCGGCCATCGCAATGGATGAGTCTAGAGTGGTTGGTCTAGCCATTAAAGTCCCTCCTATCCCAGCAAGCCTGCTGGTTCCTCTGATGCCATGAAATCGGCCCCTTCACCCCTTCACTTCTCAGGTCTCTGAAGATCCGACATCTGCATCAATGCGTTTTCGAGTCCAGACTTTAGTGACAAGATTGTGTCAAAATTGCTGCGTTCGGGGCACCCATAACTTAGGTAGTTCAGATTATCCTCGTCATGTTCATAATTGGCCTTGTACCGACTCGGGGTACTAATCCCGAGCCCGTAGTTCATGAGATGGGAGGGGAGAACAAATAGTATGTTCTTTTCTTATCAATAGATCACATTGAACAGCAATTGGTGCTAATAGCGCTGGGTATCTGGTGGCAGTTGTGTGCAGTGTCAAGCCGATCACACAAGGTCTAGCCTTGTGACTTAACTTATTCTTCCTTCAACATTTTTCTCTGCTCACATTTCAACCTCTCAAATCACTTTCACCCTCCTGAAAAGTAAGCTTCTTCTCATTGCAAAGAAAAGAATCTACTAACCCGACAAGGATCTCGAGACGTCTAGTTGTACACAACAATCATGTCTTCTACCGATACACCCCGAATCTCTTCTTCTCTCCGCGAAGCCGCGCGTGCTGTGTTTGAGATGACAGAACATAACAGACGGATCCAGCAGCGCCAACTCGATGATGCGCTGAATATGAGACAAGCCTTCGACTCCTTGGATCAAAACATGGACGAGCTTGAGATGATGACTATGCACCTTCGCCGTGTACCCGACTCTGAGTCGTACTTCTATCAGGCTCAGCAGCATATTCACTCGTTCCGCCTTATACGAAATGATCTCAAGAACACCGTCATATCCATCAGCGACGCCGACCTGAAACATGCTGAGGAAATGCAGTTCAGTTATTCCCAGTTTCTGAGCCATATCTCTTGCTACACTGGTGATGACACTCAAGCCCTGGCATCACTCAAGACCATTATCGGAAAGTTCGACGCCTTTCATCCACAACAACGCCAGCGACTTGCAACCATGCACAATCAGCTCGATAGCTTCAACCTCGTCCTGAACAAGATGGCCGCTTTTAAACACGGGTTGGAGGAACAGGGGTTGATCTGACGGGACATTAATGGTGTCTGGAGCTTCGTGGTCGCATGGGATTATCCATGAAGACAGTGATTTGAATGGTTGGGATGTGTATCTAGTGCTTTGAGAAGCAGAACAGAATGATAACCCAATACCTCGGCATTAATAAGAACCTTTCAAGTCTCTTTGAAGCAACTCCCCACATTATGATCGAGTCTCGTTCGCCACTGAACGCCCCTCAAGTCACATCCACGCGCTGGTTCATTTGGATCCAGCTGTAGGAGAGAGTTCCAGTGACTTTAGAAGTTAATCCTCTAACATGGAATGACTTCAAACGTCACTTTGAGGATGATTGATTCAAACTGTCACCAAAGCAGTATTGAACAATATCCAGTCAATACAGCTGGTGTCATAATAAACGGCCCTGTAGACATTAGTGACTCTCCGATTTTCGTTACTCTTGTAGATTCTCGAATTGTTGTCCTGTTTTACTTTTCTGTCTACAGGGATTCTACCTCAAACATATAGTAGAATGGAACTTTTGCTCGACCAACCAGTGATCTCGAGTTGATCCCCCTTACTCGGTGTCCAACAAGCATGTAAAGGGTCGAACTTATAGCTGTACTGCCTCGGCGTCTTTGAAGCTTGATAGCACAATTGCCTTTGCGTTGTACCTACTTGGTTCACGCTGGATCCGTCATAGGACCTGCACATTGGTCCGGCAACGTTCCGAGTTCCATTGTGTTGTTGCAAGGTCCCTAGGAACACTTTCCGTATGCAACGAACTATGCTTTGGTATGAATCTTGAAGATAAATTCGGCGTTATCTCTGGGCTTAACAATTCTGAGCTTTACAAGTCGATGCCATGCCATCCTGGAGGTTGTCTTTTAGTGTGGCTTTTATTTCATGGTTGTATGCATAAATGGTCTGGTTGTGTGGCTAGCTAAGGTAGCTATTGTTTGTAGACTCCGTTGTTGTGGGCAAGACCGAGGTGCATATATTAGACCAAAATCCAGACGACTGCTAGGATGTGGTTACTCGTTTGCGTTGAGAGTCGGGTTTCGCAGCCTTGGTTGACAAAACATGCACTCTTAGACGAACCATAGAGGCTTTGAGGGCGGAGAGAGCAACTGAAACCAGATATGCTAAAGCCATCCTGGACTGACAAGTCTTGGATTTATTCTCCTCTTATCCGGCCCCCCCTATTGCGTTGTGAGTTGTCTGACTTTTATACTGGTAGATGAGACCATCCCGCTGCGGACACTAACGATTCTTACACTCAGCAGATGGCAATGTCGTCAAAATCGGGCTTCCTTATATCATGAATAATCTCGTATGCATGATATATAGACAGTTACTTACGTGAAGCAACGCTGGAAGTTGTCGGGATATCATAGTTGATGCTTCCTTCGGTTGGTCAACCGTGGGCCAGTCTGTCGAAACACCAAATACACGCATCCACAACGCACTGTTTTTGCTTACTGCCAAAGCCAACACCGTCGCGATCTGGTATTCCGTAAGATTTTATAATCAGTCCAACAATATCATGCAATTCCACAAGTTGACCGTTCTAGTTCATCCGGAAGTTGAGAATAGCTTCAATAAGGAGATTATATTAATGATGCTGTCTGGTTATGTAGAACAATTCAGCAGCTGAAATTATTAGATAAAGTGTTTATATCCCATCAGGGGGGCTCATATCGGATCCTGCATTTCCCTTCTCACCGAAGATCTTTTTCTTAGTTTGGTCGTTGAGACTCTGGCAAGGCGGTAGACATTCAACCTCTTACTTGCACCGCACTTCTGGGACTTGTTCCCCTTGCAGACAACATTACACTGCGATGCTGGGGCTTCAACGCTACCATTAGAGGGCTCCTTCTTACTGCAGTAACAGTCCTCTCCGTTCTCGAGTCCCAAGTAAGGATATCCTTTGCTAGAACAAAACTTTGAACAGACATCGAGAGTCATCTTCTTGTTTGTTGTCTTGGCACCTCCTAATGCGCGAGCGCCTTTCCCTTCCGTATAACACCCGAGGTATTTTGGTGGAGTGTTGAGAGCCTCGAGGTTGACAGTGGGAGTATAGAGTGTGTTGTTCCAGATGGATATGCGATTGCCAGCACCACACTTCTGGGAGGAATTTCCCGCACATGGCATTCTGCAGTCGCCATCTGGTGCAACAGTGGCCTGTGTCTTGGGCGAGTATCCGCAGTAACATTCCCGTCCATATTCCATTCCAAATAGGGGGTAGTTGAGTTTGCTGCAGAAGGAAAAGCAGGTATCGAGAGAGACGGCAGAGCCTGTAAAGCTGGCACTAGGGAGTGTCCGGCCGCCTGACCCTCCATCGGTGTAGCAGCCTTTCCATACGGCAGAACCATCAAGTGCCGTAATTGGTCCTGTTGGTTGATCGGGCTGCTTGATCTTCCACACGCTCAGACGATTGCCTGCACCACAGTAGCTGAATATGTTCCCTTTACACTGCATCGAACACTGAGATATATCGGTAATGTTGGAGCCTCCATTGACAATATCGTTGCCACAATAGCATTCCTGGGAGTATTCTGTGCCAGCATATTTATAGCCGCCTGCCTGACAGAATGCAACACACTTCTCGTTTGTCATGCCAGTCACGTCCGCCGTGCTGTCAGATGAGAGTGCTCTACCAGTATTGCCCTCGGCGTAGCATCCATAATATGTAGCTATGCCTTTTGAGATTTGAGCCTGGCCCACAACGAGCTCTGCAGGTGGTGTGTATGAGGTGTCATTCCATACTGTGAGAAAGTCTGGTCCTCCACAATACTGTGTTGTGTTTCCTACACAGCTCATTTTTCTGGATGACGTGCATACTGAAGCCTTGGTGTATGAGGCCCCCGATGTGAGCGATCCCGCACAATAACACTCCCGGCCATTCTCCATTCCAGCGAGTGGGTAGCCCTTTGCTTTGCAGGTCGACGTGCAATACTCGATAGACATACTATTTGATGCCGTAGCATACTTGTTCAAGGTTCTGCCTCCACTGCCTTCGGGAGCACAGCCGACGAAAGACCAAGAGCCGACCTTATCCCCTATAGCAGGATCGAAGATAGATCTGATGCCAGCATCTCCAAGGCTGTTGATGGCTGGCTTGGCGTCACATACTACTGGGGACGCTCTGCCAGGGCCACCAAAAGGTTTATTGCACCCAGGAAGGGCATCAATCATGCCTCGAATGGGTTCATCGATCAGGGGCGCCATCTCTGGGCAATTGTCACTAAAGTATGGTGTTTGTGAAGCGGCTAGGATGGGACATTTGGAGATTGCTCCTCCGATGCTATCATTGTTGATGCATTTCTTGATAGCAGTCGCAAGAACAGTCGGATTCCAGCCGTTTAGGAAGTCACCATGAAACGCATAGCCAGTAGTGTCTCCATTCGCAAAGACAAATCGGCCACCTTTGCTTTTGTCGATGTTATTGACTCCATAGATGACCTCGAAGAACAGATGAGGGAGCTGGCGTGGATGGCTCGGGGGGCAGATACCATTATCTATTGAGGACATGTAGGCGACGTGACTTTGGTCAGACTGGTAATTCTGTCCATTCCAACATGATTGGAAATGAATTTGTGCTCTCATGCCGTTATCACAGTCTGTCTTCCACATATAGCTACGCTCCTTTGAAGGCCCTGAGCTATCCAAACATGCAAAACTCACTCGATCGGCCACTGGGCGGCCTGAGAACCTCGAGTTACTGTATGTTTTTGTCTTGGAATCATAAGACCGAGCAAAGTTGTCTCCTGATAGCATCTTGAATCCGGGAGGGAATGGTTCGATGTTTGTCTTGTTCTCTCCACGCCCGAGGTAGTATATCACAGTCCCGCCGTTAGGGACCATCTGGAAGCTCCCATTCGCGTGCTGATAGAAGAGTTGGGGTGTCCAGTAAGCTGATTTATCATCCTGGACCTCGCAGGAAGTACACCTTGAGGCCTGAAGACTGTCAAAAGTGGAGTCAATGTTGATGTTGCTGGCCCCAGAGACCTTGTGGACATGTGCTGAGAAGGTTCCAGGGGCAATGATGGGATCAACTCGGCCAGTCTGTATGATACTGCACGACATGCGCCAGTATCCCTCGACTAAGGCTGCGAGAGCCACCAGGCTGAGGAAGGTATTCGTGTGTTTGACCATCGTGGATGTAAAAGTAGCGGGTGAGGTGGAACAAGGAGAGAATATTGGCAAGGCCTTATTCAACACCCGTAAGATGTTAATGCTGAGGTTTGAGATGGCTCCTGGGATTGAACTGATCGGGTCATGATCGTCTCAAATATAACGCTCAAAGTAAATTTAGCCAGGAACAACGCCCTGATAAACTGACTTTGCCAACGGGAAGACATTCGGATTATACCCTTTTTGGGTGCGCTTGAGCCTCAATCAAGGAAACATAAAAAACCACGCGCCGCAGGATGAGATATAATGTCACCAACGGGGTCGATAGTAGACAGGCATTCTCAATTCCTTGGTTTTGATAGTCTACATTCCAGCGGGAGCCTCTGATGAGTCGCGGGTATGAGAGACTAAGCTTTATTGAAGCTGCCTGGCCGAGTCTGGATAGCTTCAGAAACCTTAAACCCGAGTCGTGGATAGGCGCTACTGGCGCAGGCACCCGCGGTCGCATGATGGCTGCGCCAAAATCGAAAGCCCAGGAAACCTTATTGCGACAATGCGCTTGTGGTCTTTGGCAGTTGGTGTGGGTGCCTCTCTAGCCTCTTCCCATTTTCGATCATGGTTTGCATACCAGTCGTGATTTGAGTTCCATCGGCCAAACGACTTTTCTGCGCCCAAAACCCAGACGAGGAGGTATCAGAGGATACACCCCGATACTATGCAGACATTGCAAATGGCCGGTGAGAGTTATCTGATATCCATAGGCGAGCTTGTCATGTTCTCTCGATGCTCACCATTTTGATAGGCGTTCCGCCCTGAACTGGAGGCGTTCTCATGGCCTGTTGACGTGAATCCGCTACAGGTTTTTTCGGCACGCTTCATATAAGTTGAATCTGCATCCTGCTAGCTTAGTCAAGAACCGAGGACATGATTTCATATTCACCCAAGTGACTGGTAGTCTATGCCAAACGTCATCGTGCCATTACTAAGATAATAGCTCCGAGAGTTGTCACTTCGTGGTAAACAGCCCAGTCTTGCCGCACGGGGACTAGCATAATCGCCTATCTAGCTTCGTTCGTCGGATTGTTACTAGCGATACCCGGGTCTCGGCCATGTCATGTCACTTGATATAGGCGTAGCATTATATTGATATGTCAAGGACTGTCATCGACGTCAGTTATCCCTACCCTAAGATATGAGACATGCACCGCGTGGGAAGCAATGAATCGCACGGAGCTTCAATCGGAAATTGTGACTTGACAGACAGCCACGAAGGTACAGAGAAGCTCAGTGATAGATATGTAGGTTCATACATAGGTAAGTAGGTATATAGGTTCGTTCATACCAGTAGGAGTTTGCCGGTCCTAAGTTCGAAGTAGACTGTACTGCGTAAGTATCTGTGAATGATTATTAAGTTAATCTCCTACTAATCGCACCAACTGCGATTACGGAGTATGAGGACAGGATCGATGGTAATCCAGAAAAGCATGAATCAGGTGATACAAGCTTCTTCGTTGCGCTTGATGGTCGGATCATATCACTATTTAACCGACAACAACCCGCTATTTCCTTGAAGGGATTGTTTCAAGTCTTGGAAGGCAAATGGAAGAAACATGCTCGCATTGTGAAAACACCCAATCACCTGACGCGGTGACTTCTCCTGCACGTTTTGATTAAAGGGCCTCAATCCCATTGTCAGACGAATGGATATCCCCTGTTCATGCTTATACCCTGGGTCCAAGGTCGTAGCTATCCGCTTCAAGGAGTTGCGGCGTTGGATGGGAAGCATGTTGCATCGTGCGAAGAATTCCCGACTCTGAGATGAGTATGGATTATTTGATTATACGGATCTGGGACTGAGAATGGCCAAGATGATGAGATGTTTGTGTTGGAGTTGTACCGATAGTCGTGATTTTCCGCGCCCGCGCCCTCAAATCTAGCAATTTGGGGGCCGCTAACTCATGTTGACGTCTGGGCAAGGTACTTGCTGGCTGGTGAACTGATGCTGGCGTCACAAGTACCCCTGCTCCAACCAACATCCAATCTCCAGCTCCCAAAATATTTCCCCAAACCTTAACTTGCTCCGTACAACAACAGTTGTCACATCACCTCACCTGCAAGAGTTTCTTCTTACCCTCCTCCCGGCTTGTTATGTTTATTTCTCGTGCTATTCATTCTCCTAAATTCTGGGACCTCTCTCTGTCGCCGCGGTGGTGCATCGTTTGACGACTTGCGAATTGATTTGACTCCGTTGGCCGTCCCCGTGTCTCACCGCAACCAAATGATTGAGCAGCGAACGAAACGAAACGAAACGTTTATCACGACCTCATTGAACGCAGCGACTTTAATAATACGCGATCCTTGATGACCTCCTCAGAATACGGCTATTAATCCCTTTACGAGTCTGTCCTTACCATACTTAATTTGCAGCTCCGGTCATTCTGCATGTGCCACCACAGTTCTCGATTGATACGCTACCGCCAACGGGACTCCTTCCCGCCATCTTTCCACTACCGCTCGACGTAAACCGATCGCTTCGTATTCCTCGCCGAACGTACACGACCAATACGCGGTCTCCCTCCTCGCGGCGTGGTCAGGCGGCATCCGGCGCGGAGGGATGCAGGCCTTGAAAGGACAAGCCGAGCTTGTGCGCAAGGCGAAGGTATGTCTAGTTGGCGAACCCTGCTGCGTCCTCAACATACAGCCTAACACGTAATAGCTTGCTCGCTCGTATCAGGAGCTTCTCGAGTACGATCCTTGACCTTCCCATATGTCGACTCGCTAATCTTTGCTCGTAGCGAATTCGCGAGCCATGACCTCAAATCCGTTGGCAACTACGCTCTTGGAAGACTGATCGGGAAGGGATCTTTCGGAAAAGTTTACCTGGCGTCGCATAAACTTACCAATGGCTCCAAGGTACTCTTAAGTCTAGCACAATGCCGACTTATCCTCGATGATAGCTAATCCGAATCAGGTCGTTCTCAAATCTGCCAACAAGGGCGACTCGAACCTTGCACGAGAAATTCACCATCACCGGCAGTTCATACATCCACATATAGCAAGATTATACGAAGTTATTGTCACTGAGAACATGGTCTGGATGGTTCTGGAGTACTGCTCTGGTAACTATTGGCTCCCCTCTTCCTTGGCTAACCTACTGACTTCGATAAGGCGATGAACTCTACAACCACCTGCTCGAGCACGGTCCGCTTCCCGTTCCGAAAGTGCAAAAGATCTTTACACAGCTCGTCGGCGCAGTTAGCTATGTTCACAATCAGTCATGTGTCCATCGAGACCTCAAGCTTGAGAATATCCTCTTCGACAAACACGAAAACGTCAAACTGGTCGACTTCGGCTTCACGAGAGAGTACGAGGGCAGGACGAACCACCTACAAACATTTTGCGGCACCATCTGCTATTCTGCGCCCGAGATGCTCAAGGGCGAAAAGTACGCTGGTGAAAAGGTTGATGTTTGGAGTTTAGGCATCATCCTTTATGCGCTGCTGTGTGGTGAACTTCCCTTCGATGACGACGATGATAACATTACCCGGACCAAGATTCTGAGCGAGGATCCCAAGTTTCCGGATAATATGCCCCCTGAAGCCATTCCTTTGATCAAAGCATTACTATCGAAACGGCCATTATTACGTCCATCTTTACCCGAGATTCTCTCGAATTCATTCTTGGCTGAGCATGCCCCGACACAGAGAGCCATTCTAGATGTTCAACAACCGCCCCCTTTCTCGACACCCTTGGAGAAGGATTGCTTACAGAGAATGCGAAGTTCTGGTGTCAACATCGACGGAGTGATTGAAAGCGTTCTTGCACAGAAGTGCGATGCTTTGGCTGGCTGGTGGGCTCTGTTATTGGAAAAGGAACAACGCAAGATGCAACGCAGGGAGAAGAAAAGAAGAGAAAGAGAGATCGACAGCCGCAGCATTCGACGACTATCCGCGGCATCTAGTCGGCTAGAAAGAATGGCTCCAATCCTGCACGAAGTTGACGAGGCGAACGGGACCGGGCGACATTTGAGACTTGAACCGTCAAATTCCCGGAATAGGGGGAGGAGCGAGCGACGAAGCGCTCATTATGTCGACTATGTTCTGACAGACCTTCCACAGCTTCCAGAAGTTGGTAGGGACTCAGGAGGAACGAATGAAGATGGCGATCGTCCTCCACCACCTGTTGACAAAGACTCGATAAGGTCCGTGTCGACATCTCGACAGCGCAGGCCTATTCCGCCACCTAAGGAGGGTTTAATACGCAGTGCTCGGTCTCGAGGCTCCACTCTCCACCTTGTCACGACTTCGGACGCACTGGCTTCGAATGCTAGTGATGAGCATCATCAGCAGAACGGCAATGAGAGGCCACGAAGGAGACCTAGTCAGCCGCTGATATCCCACTGGAAGAATATGACACATTGGCTTGTCGAGAGTGCGACAAGGAGGAGACGTGGTCATGCCAGACGAACCAGTCAGAGCACCCCTGACCTGCACAAGAAGGAGGGGAGCACAGCCAGCAGTAAAGATGGAAGTTCGCGACCACAAACAAGCAAATATCCTAACTCAACCTCACCAGGAACACAGCCAACTGCTTCACTACCGAAGGGAGTTGTGGCTAATGGCCAGAAGACCTACCAGGCTGGGAGCAGTAGCCAGCGAACGGCTTCGGGAAGTCTAGCGTCACCAACAATCCCGCCACCTCGAATCGCGACGTCGTACAAACGACAGTCGTTGTCCCCTTCTCCTCTTACACCGAGATCGACTGTCAGGCGGTCGTCAGCTGGACTTCGGGGCCGAAAGTCGACATCATCCTCGGTATCCTCTGTTCGATCCATCCATCATCACCATCACTCTCATTCCAAGGCGTCGTCTACGAGTTCCGCTGCTTCATTCTCTACTTCGATGTCCAAGACACCTCTTCAGCGAGGGCATTCACCACACCACTCCGTCAAGGTGCTTCCAGCAACACCCACGTCGCATGCCTTCCCATCCAATATTCGCCTCGTGCGAGCAACTCCGCCGACTCTGAATATGTTCAATGAAGGCATGCCATCCGAAGGTCCCCCACAGGCTCCAGGTTCGCCTAACCCTTTTGCATCAGGCATCATGTTCGCCAAGCGGAAACGGAATTTGTTCAAGGGTCCGACGCTAAACAATTTTGGTGGGCCCTCTCAAAGCCAACGCAACAGTGGCTCCGGCTCGCATTCCCGCAGCGCTAGTGCCTCTGGCCTGGGACGTCGATCTGGAGAAATCACGATTCAAGAAGAAGACGAGGGGTCAGGAGACGACGACGACGATGTCGAAGAAGTTGACGTTTTTAGCCCGGTAATAGGCGGACCGGGGGAGCGGATCGAGGAGCAGATCTTTGAAGAGAATGAGCCTCAGCCGAGCTTAGAACCAGCGCCGACCATCATTCAAAATAAGTCAGAAGGCCTGTCCACGACCACTGCGGGGAAGGCACCTGCGACTTGATGAAAATTCTCCGTTAGAAAGCAGTTCAACGACTTGACGAATTATACTAGATAATTTCCCAGACAATGGTGGTGGAATCGCTTCACTACAGGATCCAAAAGCTCTGCGGTACAATGCTGTTTGTGTTTGTGTTTTTATTCGTCTCTCCGATTCTTCAGCTTTGGCATCGTTCGTTAAAACATTGAATGGTGCATAGCCCCTTAAGGATACCTCTTTTTGTTATATACGACCATGGAACGATAGAGCTTAACAGACTATTGTTTATGTGTTTGCAAAACAGCCAGCCTTGCTTGCCTCAGCAAATTGTTCTAGATGGGAATATGTCAGCCATTCACGTTGTTTGTTAACGTGTTCGGTCTTTCTGTGAGATCCATAGCCCGTGCGCGACCATCGCATCATGGGCCTCTTGCAACATAATTTCGAATATCTAGTTCTTTCGAGTGTTTCGTTGTCTCATCCCAAGAAAACCTTGCAACCATTGCTCCATGATAACAAATATTTGTGAAAGCAGCCGGTATCCTAGAAAGAATGCGAGTGGCTCCGTCTTCGAGACTTCTTGCTCAGGACCGCTTCTCGCTCCTCGCGTAATGTGATCCAAACCCAGAACCATGTCATTGTTTCGATAAATATAAATGTAAAGAATAGGCGGTTCTTTAGCATGTCACCGCCCCAGCCAGCAGGACGATATGATGGGTTATACGAGCTCGGGTGCGAGAGGTGGCCGCGAGGGGACTTGTCGTACATAGGAGACGATGGGCCAAACAGGAATATGTAGGCAACGAACCCGAGGGAGAGAAACGATCGCAGTGGAGCTGTGTGGCAATTAGCGTCCATCATGAGTAGATCTTGGGCATAAGATGCCAACCTTGCGTGCCCCAGTGGAAGATCAGGCAGACTTCGTCGGGCATGGATAGGGATACCAGATCACTAAAGCCAACAAAGACGAGGACAGCGGCGAGGAATGCGAGAGGCGGGCTTTGCAGTTCGAACCCTCTTGCTAGAGGCTTTATCATGAGTCGAGTCAGCTTCACCAAGCTTCGGAAGCGTCGCGACCAGCAGCCATGCTAGGCTGGGAGACTCACCATTCCCATGCTTTCTCCCAACATGTAGACAAGCGCTTGCTCATTGATGGAGCTTGGATTGGTGATGAAGAAGTATGCGAGAGTCAGATGGAAAAGGGAGACGGATGTTATAATCGTTTTGGCAGATATGAGTGCCATGGTTGCGTTTTGCTCTTTCTGGAGATGGTTGTCTCGATGTACTTCGCTCGTCCGTATCGGGTGGCAGGAGGAAGCTTTCGCCAGTCGCAAAAGGAGGGAGACTGGCAGCCGAAAAGTAGGCTTAAGAGGCCAAAGAGAAGTGATCTCGCGCTTAAAGGAATGGAAAACAAAAGACCCAGCTGAAGGGCGTACTAGCACTTGATCAACTTCCAGGTCACGCTGAACAGCTGTTAGGTTGTGAAAACAGCAGCAAGCCAGGGGTTATGCCATGCGTCACCCGCGCATAATGCCCTGGGTATTTGCGGGCCGCTAATCGCGGCTAGCGAATTAGATCCGATTGCACGAGCGCCTCATGGCGTCGCGAGACAGCGTTTTCTGTGGCGGTGCTTGTGGCTGAAGCTTCAATGTCCTTGTTTGGATTGACTCCACTTTCTCGCCCAAGCCCAAGCTCGAGTTGTGAGCTTTGTTGGTAGGACTCGGCATGCACCTTACCGAGCAGTACATTCATTTTGACCAATTTTAACTAATGCATTCGCCTTGCGTACTGGGGAAATATATGACTTCTAAGATCGGGTGTCTGTTTTACTGAAATGTCGGAAACAGGTGATCCCTCGCTGGATAAGCAACAGCACATCAAATATTGGCAGCGCTGTCATAAAACATACCTCCCTTCCCCTTACACAGCCTACGACTCGACCCGCCTTACTTTCGCTTGCTTCATTATTTCGGCGCTTGACACTCTGTCTGTCCCGCTCACCCATAGTGAACGCGGTGCTATCCGTCGGTGGGTTCTCAGTCTGCAGCATCCAGAAGGTGGCTTTTGTGGAAGTTCAACGCACGCATTACCGGGTCAAGAAGCATACAAGGGCACAGCAAACATTGCAGCTACCTCCTTTGCGCTTTTACTGTTGGGCCTGGCGGCCAATGGTGAGGATGAGGCGAGGTCAGCTTTCAACGGGGTGGACAGAGTACGGTTATTGAAGTGGCTGAAGAGACTTCAGAGAAAGGATGGGAGTTTCGGACAGCTTTTATGGGACGGGGAGATTGTGGGCGGCAGAGATATGAGACACAGCTATCTAGCGAGCTGTATTCGATGGATGCTCAGGGGAGATGTCAAGGAAGGCGACGAGGGCTGGGTGGAGGATTTGAACGTCGATGAAATGATTGCACATGTCAAGAGAGGCCAAGTACGTTATGCTTTCCTGAGCGATGTCATCTCGCTAACACCTCTCAGACATATGATGGTGGAGTAGCAGAATCGTCACAGCACGAGTCTCATGGTATGGTCTCTTGACTCGTTGTATTCTCCCATAACTCACCTCTCTAGCTGGCTATGCATACTGCGCGATAGGTGCGCTGTCACTCTTGGACAGACCACCAGATTCGACATCGCCGCATCCTCCCGAGGAGGCGCTGAAACGGGGTATCCCGGATCGTGATGGACTCTTGCACTTTCTCGCCTCTCGCCCTTTTGCCTACCTCGCCAAGGAAGAGGAAGAGGATGAAGTAGAGGAAAACTTTCTTGAGTCAAAGGCTGGTGAGCTCGATCTTGGTCATATTGGATTCAACGGTCGATGGAACAAGAAGGCCGATACGTGCTACTGTTGGTGGGTTGGCGGTACGCTTGCAGTAAGTTTCCCATGTCTCCTTGAACAGATCATAGCTCTTACGCGTCTTCCAGATGCTAGGGAACTCTGCCATCATCAAAGTCATTCCTTCGCGACGATATCTTCTCGATATCACACAACATCGCATTGGCGGGTTCTCTAAGTCAGTAGGAGGGCCTCCAGATATGTACCATTCGTATCTCGGTTTAGCTGCATTAGCGACCATGGGTGATGCTGATCTGAAAGATTTCGACGTGGGCCTATGCTGCAGTCAAGAGACGACGAGAAAAATACAAAAGGCAAGGGACGGGCTAATAGAGAGCACGAGAGGTAATAGGAACGCCTGGAGCGACGATGGCTTCTGGTAGATCTCGTATCGAGCAGCGCCTATAGCACTGACTATATATAATGCATGTCATTGCTTTAATTGGCAAGCAGAACAGATTTTGCAAATTATCCTTTGCTAGACTTTGATCGTGTCTACCTGCCACCTCATGATTCCAAACTGAGTGCTTGTTCATGAAATGGACATCTCATCTGCTATCGCAATCATGTTTTGCCGGCTGCTGCGGAACCAGACCTGTTTCTACCCTCAAATTTTAACACCGGCTTCATTGCAGTCTTTCGAAACCTGTACATCAGTCCTTTATAACATACAGTCCCTCTTAGAGGGAACAACATCTGTACGATCTAATCAAGAGTTGGCTTCAGGGTAAGCGATTTATGAATATGACATCACGAGACAATGAAACAAGTGAGATTTGAAAACGGATTTCGTAAACTTCCTTGGTTCCGTTTTGAACGTGCCTTATTGGCGAACATCACTAACCGCTTTAGGAACCGTTCGGCCCCGCCGTATCTTCCATTTGTCGGATTGAATCATCTGAACCATGTCGCGATTGACAAGACTCCATCATTTCACCCAAACGTCGCCGCCATGTCCTCTACACCAAAAGACACAGCCGAGGCCACGGAGCCTGCGAAGTCAAGCAACACCGATACGCAACCTTGGAACGACGACAAACGCCGCAAGTTCGAAACGTCAGCGACAGCCCCGCCCATGAACGACCGCGACACTGACGAGGCTTAGGAAATCGAAGAGCGAGTTCTACGACCCGTGCCAAGAGGCCGCGCAAAGAAGCTACAGATGCTTGTTCAGGAACGGAGGCGATAAGAATATGTGTGGAGAGTATTTCCAGTATGTTCGTTGGGATAGAGCAATTGGGTCAAGGTGCTGACAATCGAGCAGGGCATATCGGGATTGCAAACAAGCATGGGTACGTTATATACACGATGCTACAGCTGAAGAGAATACCCGGAACTCATGACTCCCGCAGACCGATAAACGGAAAAAGGAAGGCGGCGGCTGGTTCTAATTCTCGACAGCCCGAGTTGACATGCTAGATCCATCGAGCCTGGCTCAGCATCATGACTGACGACAGGGTACATTGTAACATTAGGGGGTGTTTATATACTGTACAATACGGAAGCGCGGTGCAAAATCCTGTCATTTTATTAAACGAACAGTCTGGTCTCCTCTCGGTGCAAGTATCTTTAGAATACTCCAGTCCACCTCGACTGGCAGGCAGGCTACAACTCTCATTTTGGCTACAGCATCGTCATCAATTGGTACGGTAATGACTTTATGATCTATATCTATCTCAAGGTACCTCAAACCCACCGCTTTGCTACACCGATGGGAACACAGCTACTGTTGAGATACAAAGGCGCCCCAATCGCTGTTTGCCAGGTTTCACTATTTATGCCTGGATCAACACCTGGTCTTACACGAGCTGAATGCGTGGTGTTGGGATTGATGAAGCATATAACGAGTTGTCACCATATGGTAGGCAGTTACGTGATGGCTTGGACATTGACAAACGAAGGACAAAGGGCTTCACAAAATGCATGACTGTTCAATTCGGGAACTGCGTGAACACTCAATGTACCAAAACGTCTACCCCGTCATTCTATCAAAATCCCCCAACCCGTGGCAGTTGTCAGTCATGCGGTCGCGAGATTTGTCGAAGGCGGATTCCTAGAGTATAAAGACCAGTTGCGCTATCTAACCGAGCGTCAGGTTCGTACTGGAACCGAGCCTCATCGGCACACTTGTTCAACCTTGTGGCGTGCCAGGTTGAGCACTCTTCAAACACCTGCTTATCCAAAGCCACTCCAACATCAGCTGTCAATCGGATTGAATCCAACATTCTCCCACTTCTAAGCGAGTATACCTTCCAAGAATCGAGGGTGAGCCCAATCGTCAACGCGCATGCTGCTCCCAGTGTCCCAAGTCCAGATATGAGGATCCAAGGAACAAATGTCATTGCGTATTCATCGATGTTGGACTGGACTTGATATCTCTCGGCCCTTACGGTTTGGTCATTATCAAGGAGTACTTGACGGGCCTCTATTTCGTACCAGAGGAAAGCATCAGCAAGGGTTTCTAGGTCCCAGCTTCGCCGACCTCGTTCGATCGCCACTCTAAGTGCCGCTCGAAGTAAGTGTCCGCCGAGCCCGGGCGGTCTCCCGTCACGGGCATCGTCGAAAGTATCAAGACTTGACGTCAAGCTAAGCACCGGCATATCGTGCCCTGTATCAAGCTTCTCATCGACAAGAGTGTTCTCAATCATCGACCAGTCACTCCCGTTGACTTTAACATCGGCCCATCGAGTGGATCTGTTTAAACGGCATGTTAAGCCTGAGAACGTTAGGCTGTAGTTTGTTTGTCGGCCGTCAGGCTCCTCAGTACCCGGAAGACCTTTGGCAAAAGGTATCAAGCTACCCCATCGCTTTGTAGTAACCAATTGGCCATCATCGCCCCCGGAATCCATAACCCCGATCCAAAGAGCAGTCTCATTGAAGGCAATGAGTGGATATGTGGCTCTGACTTCATTTAGTACTATATCTGATATGACACCTTGGTCTGTGCCGAGCGATGCCTCGTATGTGGTTGACTCTGAACCAAAGACTGAAGCTGTTTCCTCAAGGACAAAACTGAGACGCGGATTACTTCTGTCTGGCAACATTATTGATACGCCTTGGAGATGGGAGGGACTGCAAAACATTTTCAATCGATAGACTGGTGCGTGATATAGTTGCATGACGGCAGGAGAAAGCGACGAACGTGATTGATCCGAGACGTTGACGCTGACTAGCCCTGTTGTAGATGGCTCGAGCATGCCTTGTTGTAGGCGCGAAAGCCTATCCTGAAGTCTTGCTGAAACCTGTTGCCGAATAGACTGGTCGTCCAGGGGTATTGGATTTGAGCCTCTGGGCAGCACCGAATGTGTATCATGCAGATATTCAAGCACCTGCGTAGATGTATCCACTCCGGCCTGTTGATATGCCACAACATTGCCAAGCAACGAGAAGCTCAAAGCCGAGAGAACAGCGATCATTCCCAGACAGACCACACGGGGCCTTTTTGAACGAACGAAAGTCCAGAACTTGAGTGGGCTGAAGGACCCCCAGTCTGTGCCGGCAACTTCAACGAGGACCTTCATGCTTACAGCTGAGTTTCTTCCGCTGTGCTCATTGACAGCAGAAAGACGAGCAAGCTTGAACATATGCCAATTGGCGACCGCGACCACAGCCGGCGCCACCAGAATGGAGAAGGCCGCGTCAATGAGCTTGGCTTCGGTTGACGAGAGCTTGCCCCCAACAATGACGGCTGCAATGTAGCTTCTGTCTGTCTTGACCTGGATATATGCGATGAGCCAGCAACTACAGATGAGAGAAGCTGAGCCGATGAACGCAATTGTTATAAGGGAGTATAGGACATGTCTTTTGAGGGGACAGTCCGCGTGTAGTGATGCGGCTTCTTCTGCAATCTTGCCCTCTCGACTTGGTGCTAGCAGTCCATCATTGGCCGATTGAGCGTCGTGTGATGTATCTTCCGGCTTGGGGGTTCCTGCTGAACTGGTGTCAACAGATTCGGGGATGTCTTCCTCTGTTACTACGCTGAGAGGAGATACTGGACGGTTCGACATCTCAAAAGACTCATTTTCTGGCTGGGCTCCCATGTTCATTGGGTAAGAAGAATCCGATGCTCGTGCTCCTCGTCCGAAAGAAACGAAGACTGCTGGTACATTTATACTCCTGTCGATATGAGAAACATTTCACTCGGACCGCATTTCAACACCAACCAGAAAAGGAGGCTCGCAGATAGGTTGCACCATCAAGGCTGAAGCGGTTTTACTATGCTTGTGTGTCCCGAGAGCATGACTGAGGTTGGCAAGATTCTTCCACATGATCGCACAAGTGTCTCTGATGACCTATTCCGTATAATCAGTGATACGGGTGAAACCAAGTGATGACAAATGATACTCGGCATAGCCGTCGTGAACATGGGCTCCTTTGAACATCGCCTCGTTGTTGTTACTTGATTGCAAGCGGTAGTGATGCCTAGGCTCGGTCATCGATGTGATTATTCGCCTTTCCCCCCTCGGTCGCCGATATACCTTCGCGACTGGCTCGAAGTTATACGGAGGGTAACGTAATCTCCAAGACTGCGATTTAACGTCCTATTTGAGACGTTTTTGTATGGTTCCGATGTTGCTAAGCAAAAACCAGATCTGAAGTGCCTGTATGATAAAAGTTTCAGTCATCGGACAAAGACTTGCATCTCCTCCGTTCTCCCCTATCCTTCATGGATCGTTGTTCTGCGTCTGCCCCAGATGAACCATTCTTATCAATCTTGAAGTCACATTTGAGCAATGGGCATGCCAATCTGTAGAAGGGGGCACTGGATGGGTTAAGATTGACAAATTAATGCCAATCACATTGCGGAAGACCTCCAACTTTTGCATCTCAATCATCATCGTGTGTAGGATGTGACTCTAATGTACATGGAACAATGTATATGGAAGTTAATTTTTGCAGTACATTGTCCAGGCTGGTGAACTACTCAAGCTCCTGCGGTGGCATCACAAATTCCCTGGGTCCAGGTTGAGGACGTCTGGATTGAATAGGTAATCATGACTGAGAGAACTTGTTGATTGGACTGGTAATGACACGCCGAGTTATCCTGGCACATGTAAGCGTTGTGACATTGAGGCCACAGCTAAGTATAATGCTTGAACTCCGGCAACACGCGGTGGATTATTTCTGTTGATGTTGTAACAGCGCGCAAGATTTGTACTGGGCGACGAAATTGGCGATGATGTGGCGCAAGCCGCACCGCCACGCTTCCACCGCCCCTCCACCTTTCTGTACCTAGCATCCCACTTCAATTTGAGCCACTCCAAACTCTCACGCACTCACTCTCAATAAACCAAGTCGACTTTAGTCAGTTGGGGCGGGAAAAGCGTCGTGAAAGCTTGATACTCATGAATCGTCAACAGAGACCCAATCTCAAGAACGGCGTAGACCTCCAGCTGCAGTCTGCCTTCAACGATGGCAACTGGGCTGCTGTGATCCGTCTTGCAGAGAAGCGGGCCCGGACCTTCAACGACCAATATTATGAGGTGCGATTTGATGGGAGCTGTACTTGAGCCGTCCGTAGACTGACCCGTATGAATAGATTGTGAAAATATGTGCTGAAAGCCAACTGGATGACCCCAGCTCCAAGTTCGCGGCCATAACCGCCATTGACAAGTACGTCAGAGAGGGAACCGTTGTCAAAGATGTCGAGGCCATAGACCTCCTTGAATGGGCTAGCCAAGGCCTGAACAGTGAAGAGGATTTTCCAGAGACACTTGGACCGTTGAGGGCACGTCTCGTGAAGGCTGCGCCCAAGGACAAAATTAACGCCAGCCGCTGCTTGGAGTCATGCTTATTGCACTGGGATCTTGTCAGCGCGCAACAGGTATGGAAAGGTTCGTTACTCCAAGGTTATTGACTAACATATTTCCAGATCGCGGCGATTTTGGACCGGACATTTCCTCAAGAGCGGAGCTTTATGTTTTGGAACATTGTGATCACACATTTATTGGCGGTTCGTGGCAACAATCATCTATTTCACTCCGTACTAATTTCCCTCAGACTAGCCCTCAATCACCTCCGGAAAAGAAGAAGTTATATGGGATGCTCGCATTGAAGCAGATTCAACGTGCTGCGCAATTAGCTGAAGAAGTAGTACCCCTTTCGATAACAGTTAGCCCCTAAACTCACAATCCTAGGCTGCGACTACCGGGAGCGAAGACGCCAAGCCACAGCCGCGAAGTATCCAAACAGAAGAAGAGATCCTACTGTTATACGATGTAACTGAAAAGCATGGTTCTAAGGATGACTGGGCAAAACTCGTCTCAAGTCCCGTCTTCAGTCCGCTTGTTCAGTTCCGAAAGGGCAGGAAGGAGTTGGTGCTACGGACCGTTTCTCGCTACCAGCAAGAACAGCAGTTCGAAGCTATTTTCGAGTTGTGCAAGGATTGCTTATCGATCGAGGACGAAAACGGTCAACCGAGTCTCATGGCGGCGGACTGGAAAGTCTGGCGGCAATTTATCGAAGCCGCTGCTGAGATCAAGAATACCAAGCCAGAGTATGTACGGACTCAACAACGCACGAAGTTCCGACTGACAAGATCCAGCATCGAAGAAACTGTCCAACAACTTCTATTGAAGTTCATCAAGTCACCAAATCTACGACCCATCTACAAACGCATTATTCTATTGGCTCGTGTCTCAGCAGCCTTCAATCTTGCATCAAATGACGAGGATGATCTTGTTGAGAACGAACCTGCGTCATTCCGACTCAAGGAGCTGATCAGCTACGTGAAAAGCCAGGGAATGAATGCCGCGTGCTTCGATGACATCAAAGCTTTTGCAGAGAGACTCAGTTCATCTGCATTAAAGTACATGGCGTACGAGTTTGTTCCGACGCTGGCTCAGGCTACAGAGGACGAGATTCAGTCGGCTAGAATAAGCAACCTTGCATTCAAGCTACAGTACTTTGCAGCCACATGCCCCTGTATGTACAGCACGGTACCTGGCGAAAAGCCTCTGCGCAAATGTCTTGTCTCTGGTGTTGAAGTCGATGCTAGCTCACCAGGGCCTGCTTTCTCAACCATCGCCGAGACTGCACTCAAGGCTCATCAGTCGCTATCTGGCTTGACTTCAAAAAGCTCTGCTATCGAGGCTGAGATCAGACCGGAACTGGCAGTTATCATTGGTCTTTCCATCATCCAAACTGCATTTCCTCCATCCACCGATATCTCGATCATTCCTATCTCTTACGCCCCCCTCCTGCGAGCCCTCCTGTTCCTCGAACACCAGCTCACTTTGACACCGAAACACAGCATCATCTCCCTTCTTCTAGTACAACTGCATCTTCGAGTTGGTTCATCGTCTCGTGCCCGAGAAATCTGGGATACACTGGGCGTCAAGCGCACCATCATGGACTCCCTCGCCCCCATTTTCTACGACCGCTTGTCGACAATTTCACCTGCACTTATTTCACCATCGGACGAGACCGGTTGGGAACTTCTAGACTTGCTGAGCTCTCACTTCAACGTGTCGCTGAAGCTTAGAATGCCTAGACGGCTAATAGATGCTTTCGAGTCGGGAAGTTATAGCAGTGTAATCGATATCCCCGAATACATGGAAAACCTGCGGTGGAGCTGCACACGAGCGATGAGTCTGGTCGAGGAGACTAGAACCGATCGCATCATGGGAGAACACTTCTCAGAGGTGTTTACCGATCCTCGATTCAGTGAGTCTTTCCAACCGTCCACCACTCTTGATAAATACTGACAAAGCCAGCCGAAGTTGCCGACGATATGAAACTGGTTGAGACCGTAGACTATGGATCTTTCCCGTCATGGGATTGCAGTTCTCAACCGCCTGTCTACTCCCGTTTGCGAATTGGACCACCGCCAACAGTATGTCTCCTCCCTCCTATGAAGCAAAGCTAACATGGATAGAATCGCCGCGCCCATCTGTCCCTCCTCTCTGAAGCATTCCATGAACTCTTGGGTTACAAGCCTCCTCCCATTTACAAGGCTTCTGCGACAGCAGCCATTCCCGACCAAATCTTTGTCCTCGAATCACTCAGTCAACTTAGCAATTCTTTCATGAAGTTCTCTAACGGTCCTAGAGGCGACCTCACTCCACAGGAGGCAACCTACTTTGAGGTCATCAGCCTACTCAGCACTCTCATTCCTTTCGCAACCGGCATCAACAGGGCCAAGCCCATCCCCGAAGAGTTTTTCCAGATCGTGGACACTCTGAAGATTGCCATAGATATACTCAAGCTAGAGCTCATGCCTCTCACAAACGCCTCCGAGCAAGTCACGACTCTGAGCACGCTTCATTCTCTCGCCATTCTCCGCGATACTTCCGTCGCTGTAAAGAACTCAGCCCAATGGGTTATCGCTTCCAATGATCGCGAAAAGGAGCGTGATCGCTCCGGAAAGAGTAACCTTCCGAAAGAGGTAATGGCACAGATCAAGGAGCTTGTGACTGTATCTGAGGCTACACTCAAGGAGGGCAAGGCCACCGTGGCGAAGATAAAAGATCATGTGTATGGAAGAGACTTTGAGCCCGTATTAAGAGCATGGGTTTTTGAAGACGCAGATAACATTCTGGGTATCGTTGGAGAGGCAACAACGAAGAAACTCGTCAAAAGCTGGGAATCTAACGTTAAGGGGTGGACTCAGGTAGCGTGGAGTTAGGAGTTGTCGATTGTCAACGTACACCTGAATAGATCGATATCCTCGAAGGAACTTGATCCTTTAGACACCCACTCTCATGGCACTGCACTGACGAGTGTATCGCTGGCCCCCACCAGTTGGAGGTTCACTATGAGCTTCGGCTGGGAGCCAGATGGGCTCGTTTCGTCAGGCTCTGGTGTGAGATCAGTGTGAAACCTCCGCCGCAGCTCCCGCAATCTTACGCTGGTGGGATGAATAACAAAAGTCGTGGGTTCGTCACTGCCGGTGTGCAATGTCGTGTCGACTGCACTGCTTTCATGCAGTTTCTGGTCAATATAGTCTTGGCCCTTTCGAGCTGCCAGCATAAGTTCGCCGTATCGAGCTCGGTCAAATTCTTTTATAGCTGCATTGTTTTGCCATAGCATCTCTGCTAATCTTGCACAGTCGACGAGAAGAGCGAGTACCATCTCTCTATGAAATTCGATAGCAGGGAGCTGCTGTGAATACAACCGTAGAGTGCGTGATGCGTTGTGCATGTTCTCCATGCAAATTGACGAGTGACCCTGAGGTTCTCGTATGTTGACCTTGACCTCAGATATCATTGCCTGAACAAAAGGCCTGGCGCCATCTAGAGCTTGATCGTATAGGGGTTCATCGAAGTTTTCTGTTAGGACACGCTTCTCGCTCATGCGGCTGAGAAATGAGCCGATCAGTGGCTCATACTCCCATTCCATTCGTATTTGCATCGTGCTCAGGTGCTCTTCCATAGATGCGATACTTGGAGGACGGCGTGATGGCCACGTTGAAGAAACCAAAGACCTAAAAAGTGACAACTCATGCATGGTGATCAAGGGGTATTCCTCAAAAAACATTTGCGGCTCATCTTCTAGTATCGTTGGCCTTAGATAATTACCAACGGGCTCAGCAAAGTGGGTTTTGTGAGTTGCACCATGGGCATTTGGGCTTTCTCCGCGACCAATAAGACTTTGGACGAGACACTCAAAAGTAGAGGCCATAGCTAGGTGAAGTACTGAAAGTCCATGTTTATCTTGTAAGATGGCATTGGCACCGTGATCAATCAGCAATTGCACGATGATATCGATATCTCGCCCAGCGGCATGATAAAGTGGTGTGTGACCTTGATCATCCTGGGCGTTGATCTCGGCTCCACGATCCACGAGCAGTCGGACCAATGGCTCCATTTCAGAATCGACCGCCAAGTGTAGTGCTGTTCGTCCTTCCTTGTCTCTTCCGTTCACATCGGCCGCATGGTCAAGGAGAAGCTTGACGAGAGGCTCGACCTTGTCCGATGTGGCATGGTGTAAAGGGCGCGACGTTTCGTCAATCAATATGTTGGGGTCAGCGCCATGTTCCAATAGCGTTCGAAACATGGGCACCTTGTCGGTCGATATCTTGGAATCCTTGAAGTGTCTGAAAGCTGCCTCTAGTGCGCCTGGTTCCAGTGGCGCACCATATTGGAAAAGGTATGTTACGATAGCATCTTGCCCTCGTCGAGCTGCATACGTTATTGGCGTTCCACGTAGGTTCGCCCCCTTTTTGAGCAGTGTTTCAGCGAGCGAAAGATGGCCAAGCCCACATGCCATCTCCAGAACCGATACATTATATGAGTCAAGTGCGTCGATCGAGCATCTCTCCAACATCCATTCTGCAGCCTCTTCGAACCCAAAGTAAGCTGCCTCGTGAAGGCCAGTGGTCCCAGGGTTGAATCCACCAGCATATCTTAGACGCTCAGTCACCTTGACAAGTTTATCTGATGACAAGAAATCTTTCACGATATCAGGCATTTCTAAGACGTTGCGAGCATGGTAACCCCAATGGCATGATGCATATCGACACAGCGGATAATCTCGAAGCATCTTCTTGACATCATAATCTTCGTCGCTCTCCGCCACGTTATTTTTGATCTTCCAGTCCTGGCTTTTCGATCGACCAAGACCAGGATTTGGGGATCCTGGCTTTTCGTCATTCGATTGATCAATAACGGAATCCGACTTTTCTACACCATTTTGTGCTGTAGTGTCAGGTTTTGGACCTCGAACAGTTCTGACTTGATCAACGATGACATCGTAAGATAAGTATGTCAGAGTCTTGACAGATATTTCCATAGCAGCATCTGGAAACCATTGGTCCTGTGTCCGCTCGAAATATTCTTGTGTCGTAAAATGTGCTAGCCGAACAGTGTTGCTCTGTTCGTCAACGGTCACCAGGCCAGCGCAAGCAGAGACGATGTCGGGGATCTCGCTAAGATTTTCCTCGTCGAACTCCGTAGAGTCTAATTCGATGCCAAGGGCATGTTGAAGTTCCGTGGGACTAAGCAACCGTCTGGCGCATGAAATCCACATGAGTGCTTCTTTAGCCAATATCGCTTGATCTGTCAACTGGTCTTCGATTCGCTTCATAGCATCGCCGTATGCTTTGTCGTATGCTTTTGATGTGCTTGAATTACTCGGCAAGGCTTTGAGAATAGCACGGACAGCTTTGGGTGATCTCTTGCCGACAAGGGAATCGAGATGCAGCTGCGCAAGGAGAAACCTAACTCAAGATTAGCATTGATGTTTGTTCCAGGGAGGTGCCGCCTTACATCCCCTGGACTGATTCCAGTATTCTTGACTTGATTTCCTCTTGAAGCTCAGGCTTGTTCTGAACAAAAGCAGGGAGTTGGGACATTCGACCAGTTAGGTATCTTCTTACATCCGGCTCACTAGCGCGGATTTTAAGAGAGACGGCTTTCCTAAACTTCTCCTTGATCTCTGGAATATACCTAGAGGTTGCTAGAATATTTGAATTTGTTGTACTTTGAAGGTCAAGCACTTGTTGGATGAAGTTTGGTAGCGTGCCGTCGGTGGTCTCGCATTCATCCAGAGCGTCAAGGACGATGTACACACGAGAATATGTCGCGGCAACCTCTTGCAGAACACGACCAAGTTCCTGTAGCGATGGGCGCGTACGGGATGCCTTGCGCTTATTGTATAGTTCCTCCACCGGCTTGAATAGTGATAGCTGGTTCTCACTAAGTTGCTTTAGAAGATTCGCGATGAGGTCACTGGCTTTCTGTTCGTGGCGCCGACGGAAGTTGCAATATATATATGCAACTCCAATACTGCTTTCGGAGTGGAAGGATTCAAGTAGTGAATTGACCACGATGGATGCCATGATCGTTTTGCCAGCACCTGGAATACCAGGACAGAACAATGTTTGTTTGTCGCCTTTTACCCAGGAATTGTACTCGTCTGATTCCAGCAGCCACTCACCAGTTCCTGGTTCTCGCCGGCTGAATATGTCGCTTTGTTGGGGAGCATAATCCACGGGTGATATCCAGTCGAGGACTTCTTTCTGGTGGGCGCTCATCTGGCTGTCTTCAAGGTGTCCAATCCCTTCTGCTATGTTGAGGTTGGACAGCTGTATGTCGGTCAGGATACGGTCAAGTCGTGCGACTCGATGCTCATCCTCAGTTGATTTGTTCTTGATAAGTCTGACCAAATCGGTCAATTGTCTGCTATTCTCGTCTGAGGTTGCCTTGATGTGGTTCACCAGCTGTCTGTGTAGATGTAAGTGATTGATACCAATAATTGATGGAATCTTGACCTACGTGCTTTCGTGTGTCATGGCGAAATGCAAAAGTGATCTTTCACGCTGAAATGCATCGACTAGCTTTGCCACTTCCTTCTCATCGAATGGCCATTGTAAGGCGGCCTTGACTTTTTGGACCCCGCTCCTGTCACCTGGCTGCAGCTTTGTTTTCACAGCATCGAGAATCTTATACAAGCGGTACAAAGGTGCATCGTCGCTCTCCAAGGCCTTGACCTTGACCGACCACGTCTGGGCACTACGGGTCATGGTCTGGTCGGCGTCCCAATCCTGAATCTCGGGTCCGTCAGTTCCTCTGGAATAATCGCGGAGCCGCATGAGAAGAGCCTCGCAGGCTAAAATCTCGTCAAGTAGTCGCTGTCGATCTTTTGAGGCTCCAGCGACACCAATGATGTATTTCGTAACCTCAGCCGTGAGTTGCACCACGGCGATAATACTCGCTGCAGCAGAGAGGCCATCCATTTTGCTTTAATAAGTTGAGACACGATGGATCGATGAATCCGAGCCTTGGACTGCCTATTTAAATCGCAGATCGCTCAGCCTACTTGGTAGCGACCACATCGCATCTGTCACAGCTCAGCCGCATTCTGCATGTTCCTTTGCGAGGATGGCCAGCGATGAGCCAATTATGTTGCTGGGAAGTATTTCAACATCGAAGTCCGTAGGAGTAAGCCATGGTAGTGGTGGCTGACGCAACAACCTTCATTCTGTTAACAGTAAGGCAGCATTTGTCTACCATCTCATTTCCATAAATGATGATGTGATATATCGGCGTCTTCATCGTAAATGGGTGCGTGAAGCATGTCTCTTTCTGGCTTGATGCTTGAGTCAATATCAGTCGTGTCGAACAAAAGATTTAAGGTTTCCCTTGCGCAAGGCCAGGATGACAATAGCATATAGCTGACGACTTTGGCCAGCGAAATAGTAGCACTGAAGAGCGCAAGAGACATTATTATGGCTTCTTGAGTACTCTGCCCGTGAATCGTCGAAGGCGACAATCTCTCGACCATTTTAAAAGTGAACAGGGGTCAACTCACTCGTGAGACTCTGTTGGCAGTTGTAGGTACCCCTGTAATTGTGGGCCCCACCTGTCTAAATTTAGTGGGCAACCCCTAACATTTTGATCTCCCAAGATTTCGTTATCTCGGATCTGCATCCCCCCATTCAATCGCATCTTCTTTGCTTTTGTTTGTGTTGCGTCTGCGTCGCCATCTCATACTCTTCGATTTCAAGAGTACATATTACAGTTTTTCTATATATTTTATCTGTATATCTGTACTTTCTTTTATGTCGCACATATACCTATCATCGTCCTCATATTTGTGATCTTAATCTGCGCCAAGCTTTATCTAAATTCTTTAGCTGCACCTGAGTGCAACAACTTCTGATCGACAAAGGTGGTTCTCGTCCTTCACACACATGAGACTGCGGCTTCTTGCGACAGCGCTTTGAGACTAGTTTCTTCAGTAGAAGCCACCGAACGAGCACTCCGCGACGTATCTTACGATATCGATGCTGCCGACGACGTCATATCGTTTTTCTTGATCATAGATTGCGATATTTGTGACATCAGTCATGATTTCTCGAAATCGCTCCGGTCGGCGCAGAAGTGCTGCTCTAGTCTTCATCGTCATTACTGTTCTCATCCTCAACTACGCAGGTCTTTTGTCATTGCCGTTCAGCTTCGAAGAACCTCCACAACCCGATCGCCCAAATTTTGATCTTGCACCACCATGTGCCCCAACTCTCGATCATCTACGACGCTCCTCGTACGGCCTGACGAGGGACATTATATACCAAAAACGCTGCATCCGCCCTGTTATAGACAAGAAGCTTGATAGCCAAGTTGTATCGCAGAACCCGGATGCCTTGATCAAGAGCGGCCAAATCGTTCAACTCGACCAGGCCTGTGAAGGATGGACCGAATCGACTTGCGAACCAGTCGCTCTCCGGGTGCCTCCGCCGTACCCTCAGCAGGACTACTCTGGATTTTTGTTTGGCGTTGCGACAAATCTTGATCGATTGAACGAATCCATGTCACAGTTTGAGAGCTGGCTTGGCAATACGCATGCGCAATTACTTGCGATTATCACCGATCCCGGCGACGAGTCCAAGTACAAACAAGTCACTGAGCAGTTCCGTCAGCGTGGGATCGAACTCAGCATCAAGGACCCCTGGAACAAGGCCATCACCTCCAACGAGCAGCACTTCGCAATCGTCCGCGACCTTCTTGCGCATGTTACCCCAAAGACGCAGTGGACTGCCATTGTCGACGACGACACCTTCTTTCCTTCCCTTTATCCAATGAGCAAGATTCTTGCCAAATACGACCACAAGCTTCCAGCATACGTGGGTGGGCTGTCGGAAAACTACGATGCAGTTAAGCACCATGGCTACATGGCTTTTGGAGGAGCAGGAATCTTCCTCAGCCCATCCCTTCTTCGCGAGCTTGACCCTCATCTGGAGGAGTGCCTCAAAGTTGATCATGTGCCTCAAGGCGATGGTCTTCTCAAGCAATGTATCTACAGCAAGACCAAGACGAAGCTCACTGTTGTAAAGGGGCTCCATCAATTGGACATGGGAGGAGATATGAGCGGTTTCTATGAGTCCGGCCGTCTGCCAATGACTTTACATCACTGGAAGTCGTGGCACCAGGCCCCTGTGGACAAGATGGTTAAGATCTCCGAATTCTGTGGAAGTTGTTTCCTTCAACGCTTCGCTTTTGGCTCCGACACCGTCTTGACAAACGGATACAGCATAGTCCAATACTCTGCAGGCTTGGAGAGCGTGGACTTGAGCAAGATGGAAGGAAGCTGGGAGGGCGCTGAAGGGTTCGACTGGAGTCTGAGCCCAATGAGATCCAAGATGGATCGACGCTTGAAGAAGAGCTATCATCTAGTCGACACTGAAATGGTTGGCAAGAATATCCGGCAAATTTATATTCATCGTCTCGAGAATGACATCCCTGGCCCGGATGAGAAGTCAAAAGACTCCAAGAAGACGCCACCCAAGATAGAGGAGATGAAGGATGAAGTGATAGAATTGTTGTGGGAATTATGATAAGACACGAGATTGGACTAGGTAATGTGGTGTTCCCGATTGGGCGAGATTTGTATAAACGACGAATGATACCAGATGACATATGGGACGGATAGATAGACTGGCTTTGTAGATAATAATGTAATGAGCCTTTCCTTATCCCGGCATTAATATGAGAGCAAGAGGGGTCTTCTGATCTCTACCCCAAAAGGTACCACACCCTCCATCACAGAGAGCTAATGATTGAGAGTTTATCAGGCTAGGGCTCCACGCGATATCGGCGTGCGGAGAACAATAGACTCCAAATGCTCAGTGACTGACTATACAAAGGGCGTTTGGAACCACATAAAAATGGTCTTGGTTGCCGCCATGAACCTGGATAACGTCAGCTCTATCACTCTTACACTTCAGTCCCAAATATGGCTTCCTTGTATCATCTCAATGGCTCTCTGCAGCCTTTTGCAAAGCTACTATTTCTCCCAGCTGTCGTTTTGATATCAGTCTGGGTCGTTACCACCACTGTGAGTTCAACCCGCTTTCAACTACATCATGAACTTTCGTAGTTGACCAAAAAACAACAGGCAAAGAGATGGATGCGCCATCGCAGACAGCACTTGCAAGCTAGCAAGGCTGATACAGTGCCGCCTGAAAAAGTGCCAGTCATTGAGCCTTTACATGACTTTGACTGGAAGACTGCACCCAGGCGTCAGTTACGGCCATTCAAACCAACGTATCACATAACGATGGGTATTGTCTCTTCACCGAACAAGAGCGTCCTTTTGTCTGACTGTCTTCAAAGCTATTCGGGCAAATACTCCATCAGAACTCATCACAATTGACGAAGACTACCTCGACCGTGTTACACATCGACGAAGTATTATTGCCACTCATGGCTCGACTGTTCATGGCTGCATTCCCGAAGGTGATGCCGCTGTGCGTGAGCTTTACACCTATCTCCTATCTGAACAGCTCCCCACACGGTTCCCGACCATGTTCAAACTCTCAAAAGACAACTCCATATGCGAAAATCTCGCTACAGGAATGTCTTTCCCCACGCTGCCCGAAGGCAACATGGATGCGGCGCTACGTGTGCTTGGTGAGACTGTCGAAGAAGATATCTTCTTGTTGCAAGAGACTCCCGAAGGCCACCGCTCGGTTGCATTCATGTGTTGCTTTCCAGCGGGCTTTGATCCCTCGTCTAAGCTTGGTAAAACACTTGTGGAGATCCATGCACCTGTGCCGTCATACGAGAAGATCGGTTCTAGTATGGAGAAGTTCTTTACAAAGCTGGAAGTAGGAAAGAGTGTCAAACGAACAAACGTCAGGAGTCTCCAAAGCCAACGCGCCGAATTAATGCTGACAATATGCAGTGGTCCGTCCAGACTCATACAGAGCTGTTCAACTGCCAGGGCAACCACATAACTGGCGATGATAAGTACGAAGCTGATGAAGATGTTGACATTGAAAAGGTAGGGTGCTGCCCCATGACAATATTTCCTCACTAACACATGCACACAGACTTTCCTTCGCATAGAGCTGCAAACCCTGACTCGTTTGCCCAGGACACGAGCCATTCTGTTCTCTTTCAAGACTTATCTCTACCCAGTCCGCCAGATCAAGGACGAGGGCCTGGGGCCTGCTTTCGCCGATGCTATTGAGGGACTCGCCAAGGGTAATGCTCCCGGCATGTGGACTTACAAGAGCGCGGTACGATGGGGAAGCAGTGTAATTACTTATCTGAGATCGTGAGAGGAGTGGAAAGGTCGATGACTTGGATGGTACATTGACTGCCGGTATGTGAGGTGCTCTGTTTGACTCATTACAATAAATGCCAAGACACCATCGGATGAATCAAGATTAATAAGACTATTTTTGTTCTGCACGATTTCCCCGATCCACCCCCACTTCAAGACTACAGTATGCCTTGTGTTTCGTGATAGCATGTACTTCGCTACAATAAAGAGGTCCAATTTCACGATTACTCCATAAGATGAGAGGATCGTCTCGTAGCAAGTCGTTCTGGCCGCAGATACCTTTTGGTGAAGTTGGTTTACTGTTTCCTACATTGGGGTTCCGTATTATCAACATCATGCTTCGGTGGGAGGTGGGAGGTGGACAATTTGTTCTTCCCTCAGAGAATTTTCTGTTTAGGAACATGTGTTATTCTCTATCAGATAATCATTCTCAACCGGGCCGGTGCTTCACTTACTAAATCTCGTTTTATCAAGCCTAAACCGGTATCATCGTGTGTCTACCCCACAGATAACCTTCTCGAACTTGCAGCATGTGGGGTGAATCATATCAATCTCGGCGCTCTCTTTTTAACTGCCGTATCAGGTAAAGGTAACCTATATCAACCATCTCGACTAATTCTCTTTTGGAAAAGTGCCTGGAGAGTACAACAAATATTCTGTAATTCCAGAGACACATTGAACCACCAAAGATTACCAGCTGCTCAAGCTCCATGTGACGATTCATAGGCCAGGGCTGCTCTATCTAATGATTCCCGTGGAGAAAAACAATCTTGAGCCTTCCGCTATGGGACATTACCGTCGCAGTGAAGCTCTTGTCAATAGACACCTTCTGGTTGTCCAGTTGTCGTTTCGTGAATTCCCTCGTTGCTTCGTCGTATCCGTCCTTGTCGGTTGGCTTCAGTGCCATACCTCCGCTGTCCTTTTTCACCCTACATTCTTTTGGGGCTTGAGATATAATATCTTCAGTGAACCCCATGAAAGGGGTGTAGGGGTCTTCTGATCGCAAGAGGATGGGCCCGTCATTGCCTGCATAGTGTTAGCTTTCTCGATCAATAGTTCAGTGTGGTATATGACCTTCAATAACAGACACTCCCCCGTACCCCACTGGATAGCTCTGCCAGTTCACCTCTGCCCATGTGCCGAGATTGTGAGCGCCGCCATCAAAATCGATATCGTTGCCACGGACGAGTCTTCCAGAAAATGTTGAGCACCATGTTGTCAAGTCAACAAATACAGTTGTGTTGGAGGATACCTTGCAGACACTTAGTTGAAAGCCTACCTTGCAAGGAAATCATGGGCTGCCAACATACCTTCATCGCGCGATACGGCTTCGCGTCTATTCCATTTTGATACACCATGAACCAACGAGTAGTTCCGTCACCATAAGCAGTTTTAAAGGTGATACCTGGTTGACCAATGTCCATGTCGCCAAGGAAAGGATCTATGAATTCAAATCAGATTATGAACACAACTGCGTCTTTGAGGGTTTGTCATACCTTGGATGAGTGTGTAGTCACTCTTATCCGGGTCGCCGCAGAATTTCAAGGCCTGCGCTGCGGTATCCTCGATAGATGCCACACATACTGCCAGGGCAAAAAGGAGAAGGCAAATGCGTAGCATACTTGCAGATTTCCCCTTCTACTATTCTTTCAGCGGGAAAACTTTAGAAACAAGAGGTTGGCAAATAACGAAGACGGCGAACAATTTTTCAACGCATTAAATAGACAGGTTCCTTCCGCGCGAGACATGTGTTATGGATGTTACTGTCTCTTTCCTTTCGCATGAGGTGGTTGCCCGTGAGGTTGTGTTCGACAAACCAAGTACCTAGGTTGTTTGGGAAAGTGTCATTTGCACCTTCTCTGCACTTCCCTTTATGGAACGGGAAGATGCATGTCGCTCGCCTTTCCGATCCTGATTCACAGCAGCACAAATTTAGGCATCCGGTAGTAGGCCAGTAGTTTGTCTCGCTTCAAGGTAAATGAATGCTTTTACTGCTTCTTCAACATTCGATCTGTAAGGAGTTTTCGGAGTTTACTCCGACTTCCTCATTTGGTGATCCTGTGATGTATAGAGGCCTGCCATTGGCTGTACTCTATCATTGACTCGCGGTACTTGATCTCATCTGTCGATTTGAAAGCATTTTATTCAGGCAGATAAATATAAAGACAATTCAGTTATACATTCAGGTTCCTGCCACAACAGGAAACTTAAGAGTGAATTGTAAACATATCATTACCTGTTTGTTTGCCTCTGTATGCTAGGCTTGTTAAGGCAACTATGTACATGTTTGGCATCTTTTTCGCACGTTCAACGGCTCCAGAACCCCTTCCAATCATAATTAGGGATATAATATTGCACAATGGCATAGTCCGTAACATGGCATGTTCGAGCTATCAGTACCATAGCCTCATGTCTTGCTGTGCTTGGTTGGGTTTCCGCTGATTACAAATGTTCATAAGGTGCACTAACATCCATTTTCCTGACTCATCCATGCTCAGCCCTGCCCAGGAATTCGGTATGCAGACTGTCAGAATCCAACATACAACCGCCCATCGCATTCTCAGACTAAAACATATCGATTACTCTCAGTATCTCAATGTTCACCACTTTTGACATAACAACTTCAAACTCCCTGTCAAGCGGGAAACCTCCTTCTCCACCAACTTCACAACCCCGCCCCAAGAGGGCTCAGGTCTCACGCGCCTGTGACTGGTGTCGCTTGACACGAGTGAAATGCGATTCTACCCGACCTTGTCGGAACTGCAAACAAGCCAATAGAGAATGTGTAAACTCAGGCCGCGATGATTTCAAAAGTGTTGCCGCGGCCACAAGGTTAGTCGAACCTGAATATATCGAAGGGGGCAAGCTAACAAGGAGATAGAGAGGTTCAACGGCTGAGAAGTCAGGTGCAGCAGCTTGAAAATAAGCTACTTAGCCCATCTCCTTTGCCCCAAAACGGTGATGCTGTGTTTAAACGCCCATTAAGGTGGAAAGGAATTCGAGTGAATGGTATTCAGTACGGCCCATCCTCGCTGGCTTACTTTACTCATCGAGTATCAACTTTCACAAAATCGAGCTTTGATACAAAGGTCCTGTCATGTCCAAAACTACCAGCTACTTCATCTCCGCTCAGCTGCGACCGACTACAGCGTGAACAGCAAGACGCTCTCCTCGACCTTTACTGGCAGGGCTATCATGCGATTTATCCAGTGATCGAGGAGTCTGCTTTTCGACAACTTTACGACTCACTCTGGATTGATAACACAACAAGACAGCCATGTCCTCTGGTAGACATTGTGATCGCCTTATGCGTACAGTTTGGCTCCTCCTACACAACCTGTGACAATGTTGTTGTGCCTGATCAGCCTGGTTTCGATTTCTACCTGCAGGCTCAACAAGCGCTAGTTCAACATTTGGATTATCCGTATTTACATTCGGCGCAATGGCTATTTTCTGAGCGCCTTATATATGTTGGCTTTGAATAAAGACAACTCGGCCTATATGATGATTCGATCTGCCGTAGCTGCAGCAGAATCACTTGGCCTCCAATTCGATGCCGGCAATGAGACCCAAGATAGCGAAGTTTCAAGTGGCACAAACACAGGCTCGCGGTTATGGAAGTGCCTTATCACCTTAGACACGCAGGTTTCTCTGCATTTGGGCCGCCCCTTCGCAATTCCAGAGCCGCGTTTGTATGAGCGCGAACACCCAGAATCTGATACCATCGCTGAACTTGCCGGTCCAAATTTCACCCTTTCGCAGTCTTTAGACATCAACTGGCTTCGCTTTCAGCATGAGAGACAAGCCCTCTTTCAGATCGTTCGTGAGATTCATACTGAATTTGCGAGGGTTATGGAGGATGTTCTTTCGGAGATTGATCAACCCGACTTTTATCAGCACCCTTCATCACGAGAGAAGTGCGCAAAGTATCTCTATGAGCAGCTCAAGCGACTCAAGACCTGGGTTGAGAAACTACCAAGTAGTCTCAAAACACCACGGGTGCAAGGTGTACCCTTCTCGGTTGATCGCTCGCCACTGGATCTCAGCCAGGGCGATCCCCTTTGGCTTCAGAGACAACGGCTAGTGCTGGAATTCGACTACCATTCCTTGGTCATTATGCTCACTCGAACATTCAACTCATTTCTACCAACGCCAGCACTGGGCACTTTCGATAGTGATAACCACTGCATTACTTGTGTGAACTCTGGGATCATGGTAACAAATATGCTAAACCAGATCAGCAGGGATTCCGGTATTCTTGCTGGCTGCTTTCAAGTGTTTGATTGGCAGCGTACCGCCACATTTGCTTTAGCTGGCTTCTCTTGCGGATATCCCATTTGCCCAATGTCCCCCACAGCGCGGAAGACGTTGACACTAGCTGCGAGGGTTTTTGAGATATTTGGATCCAAAGTAGGTGTGCAATTGACCAACAGTCTCAGGATCAAATCTCTAGAACTGGTGGAAGCATTTAGGGCAAGGCTTGGTCTCGCTACACCCGCGACAACTCCAGCCAGTAACCAGAAAAGCCCAGACACGTTGGATACTGTGGTGGAGCCGAGTAGCTATCAGATTATGAGTGTTGGCGAGGAAGCTTTATACGATGCAGGTTTTTATGCGACACTTAATGAGGACATGTGGGCTGTCGACACACCAGGTGGGCTGCTCTGGGGTGACTTGTTGAAAGATTTGGATTCAGGACTAGTTTCATCTCTTGGACAGGTTGGAGTTGACGATTGATATCGCCATCATATTAGATAGTGCCTTGGACTTCCGAAATGCTTCAGTTACCATCGTTGCCAGTATTGTGAAAGACCTTTGATCAGAACAAGCAGATCAGCTTTGAGGCCTGGGTAACTCATCATGCTCAGACACAGCCAGTCATGAAGCGAGGCAATGGACCCAGAGAACTGGGAAAACAACACCAAAGATAAAAGGCATACCCCACGTGACCTCGATGAAAAATCATAATAGGAAGGGTCAATGTGGATGAAGCACGCTTCCTCCCGTCTCAGGTCTTACACCTTACCCCTTTGGGTTGGTGACTTAG